GCAATAAAAGAACAAATTGATTTATCCTGATACTGTCAGATGCTTTGATAAGAGGAAAAAGTGTGTATAACTATGAAATAGTACATTACAGAACAGAAAAAAAAACTACTGTATCGTAGTAAAACGTCAAAAGCCTATGAAAAAAGCATAGAAAATCGTTGAAGACCAAGATAAAGTAATTTTCATGCATCACATGCAATAGAAACTAGACAAAATATCGGAAATATCGAGAATACTGAAAAATAAGCTAAAATTTGCCTGGGGTTTTCTCGAAAACTCTTTAAAATCTGTTAAAAATTCTCTTTTAGACATTCAAAAACCATTGGGTTTGATCAGCTCTTCAAACTCTATCAATAACCATATCTTAAAATTTCATCACATGCTTTTAAAGTGCTGAAAAAGGAACTAAAATATAAATTTTAGTATGTGGGTTTTTGAAAAACCTCTAGAAAACCATTTTTATCCAAGAACTGGAACTCACCAACTGTCCAGATATGCGCAATTTTTCGAGCTCTATCCAATTATGTTCTTAGAAATGTTTCAGCTAGCTTGTGAATGCGGAGAGTGCAGTTTTAAAAAAATTTAAAATTTAAAAGTTAAAATAAAAATTTGAGATTATGAGCTGGAGAGCCCGACTTTTTTTTTAAAATGTAGCCCACTCAATTCTGAATTAAACTATTAAATAACCAAGGTCTGTTATATTACCGTAGTTGCGACTATACCAATGCTATGACATATTTTAATCGAGCTATAGAAAATTTTCAAAAGCAAGAAATCAAATATCCACCTGACATAGCAGCGGCTTATAATAATATCGCTGTTATTAATTTTAAACAAGGACATTACAATGATGCATAAGGAAATTTTCAAAAAGGAATTCAAACTTAATGTCTAATTGCTCATCTGTTAAATGACAAATATATTCTACACTATAAATCCGATTACTTTGTTACAGATAAAACAACCACAACAAAAAAGCATTCTCCTACATATGTCAAAGATAAACATGGACGTATATATATATCACTAAAGGTAATATTTTTTTTTTAGCCGTGTATTTTTTTGAGTCAAAATGATAAAACTACTCTACTTGTTCAACTCTAAAAATTGTCGAGTTCCTTAATATATTAATCTATCATTCTCATGACTGTCTTCTCTGTATTTTCCGTGCTAATTTAGACGGTCATGAGTACAAGAAACAGTTTTAACAAAGGGATGAGCAAGAATCAGACAAAAACTATTGAAAGCATTCAAATGAATAGAAACTGAAATATTAATTATTAAAGAAATCGATTGTAAGTTATATTTCAATTAAGATTCCGTATGAAGTTTTACATAATAGTATCACCCAAAAAGTAATTCATATAGCATGGATAACAGCTGTGCGGGAGTACGGTAAACATTACTATATGCCATATACATTACTAACCAAAGATAAATTTTATAACAACGAGAAAGATGAAAATCCATTTAATGTATCGATTAGCCAGCAAATGCTTCAAGGAAATATATTGCAGTTAGTCATATTTCTTTGTGCCTCATTCTATACTAACCGTTTGGTTATCATTTAATTTCGAGATAAAATTTCTTATATCTCAAATATGCAAAAGCTGATATTTCGATTGTAAAGTATTTAAAAAAGTTTTTTATATCTGTATATGTTATTCGGTGTCCTCTTCAAACTGACATAGTTTGAGGGTATATATTGGGTGGGTATATCCCCTCCTCCCTTAAATTAGTTTTTCAAACAGTTATTATCATGCATGTCCTGTCACCTGCTGTGATTCAGCTACTTTTGTTGAACCTGTCCTACGTTGTCCAAGTAAATTTTCTTTTTGTTTCATATGCCATTCGATAGAGGAAGATTAGAGGAACAAAATACACAAAAAAAAATTTGGGGGGGTCGCCATATGGATGGTTTATATTAAAACAATACTGAATAAAATGCACGTTTAAAAATATGGAATTTTTCAATTTTTTAGTTTTTAGCACTCAATAATTAAATATATTATTAGATCTAAATACATGATTTTATAGAGTAAACATTCCTCTTACAAATGGCGTTTTTTGAGGACATAAGTGCTCTCAATAGAGTGTTTTGCCTCTAGTTTTTTACAAAGTACTTTCAGAAAGAGTAATGCAGGTTTAGCAGTTTTTTTTAATGCTCTTTCGAACGAGATGTAAACAAGAAAAATTCAAATTCCACCGAAGGCTCCCATGTTGTCGAAACTGGCTGTTAATCACGGTTATTTTAAGAACCGACGGTTAGCTGCGGTTATTTCAGCTAAAACCATAGCAACATAGCGGAAAAACCGACGGTTAACCTCACAATTAACCAGAAAAACGGTCGGTATTGACCAACCGTCGGTTTTCGTCCGGTTTCGACAACATGGGCTAAGATGGTCCGTGCTGTGACGGAAGCTCTGTTAACTATTTGAAAAATAATTTTTTATCATAAAATATATTATTTTCAGTTTTAGAAAAATGATTTTTAATCCATTGTTGTTGTTCTTTTTCATTTTGACATAAAATATAAATACTGATAATCTCTAAACGGTCGTGAATTAATTCAATAACATGATACGCAGCTAAAGACGATACAACTAATAAAAATCGTTCTTTGTCCTACGTTTTGAACTAACTAATGGATAAATTGACAAGGATCACAAAATTCTTTGAAATTATCAAACATTTTACGTAATTTTTCATCGAAATCATTATTGGTGGCATCATACTCCGATTACCCACTTCTACCAGTTTTTACAGTAAAAATTGCTGCTGATTGCATGATACTTTTCTCTGTGTTGTTATGTCATGTTCTAATTTGGCTCACTTTGTTGTTCAATATAATTGCTCTTATTAAATTGTCGTTAACTTTCCATATGCAAGAATAACATCTGACTTTGCACTAATTATTCTGTATATAAATTTAAAGTATAGTGTGGGTCCTACAGCTAACTATACGTGGTAGATGGATCGTTCGCTTCAAACAGTTTGTCACATATTAACTTTAATCGATTGTATGTGCGACAGTTTTCTAGAGACATCTAGTATCATATAATTAGAGCTTTTGTTACTAAAGTCGAAGGAATGCTTCTATCGTTTCGTCATTCAGTCTTTTTGCTTTCAGTACTAACTAATTCTTTCTTTCTTTTCTACAGTAGTGCGTTATGTATGTGATTGGATACTGTGATTGGAGAATCCACGAAATGACATTTTACGTCTTGCATACAGACAGAACACAACGAACTTTACGTCTTGTTAAACACCCTGGACTCAACTCATATCAAGGGAATAACTAACTTAACTCTGCTTTTTAACGTCCACGAGAATCTCGTTAATCCTGTCGAAGTAACTGCCTGTCAATACTCATCTGTTTACCTGCTTGGCTAATTGAGAGTGAAACTTACTTTCCCTGAAACGTATAAGGTGTCTATTTTTTCGGTTTTCTTTTCTAATTTACTTGTTCATCACTCTTTGCTCCTTCACATGCAATGTTCACGCGGAGCAAGTGAGGTAGTTATTAAAACAGAACATCAACAAAAGTCCAATGCGATTAGCTATTTTCTTTGTTAAATGAATATGAACTAATAATTTTTTTGTCGTTGATGGTTGTCTTGTAGGTTGTTAAAGCAGTACTTTTGCTTTTAATATGTAAGAGTTATCTCCCATGTCGCACTTTTTTTCGTAATACCGCCGGTTACCGATCGATCTATACAATAGATTACCGCTGATTAACCGTACCGTACCGTTCGGGATAACGACCGGTTTAGCGACGGTTTTTTCTTCTATCGACGGTTACCGCACGATAGTTTTCAGACCGTGGTGCAAGAAAAAACCGTCGGTAAACAAACCATTTCACATCAGAGACTCGTCGAAGTTTGCACTTTGACTTGAGTCAAATTTTTCCCGTTCGGAAACCTCATGCGCACTGCAAAAAAAAGAAAGCTGAGAACTAGATTCGAACTCCTGTACTGTTTGCTCACACTGATAAAATACCAGTTGATACCGCCGGTACAACCTACCGGTATACCGTACGGTAATTTCACATGTCCATTAGGTTAACCTCCCATTATACTCGGCGATGACCGCTGCGGTAACCGGTGGTATTCTAGCGGTTCTGATGGCATGGGGCTGTTAACGATCACTTTTGTTTTATTCTAGATGAGTTTCCAGTGGACATTTCTCGCTACATTTCTATATTGTGAATTAGTTGTTATCGTTATATTACTACTGCCATTTATTTCACCTGCAACGTAAATGTTATGTAAAAATTGTAAATATATATTTTATTGTTTTGTATTTCTCATTTTAGTTGGCATAAATTTTTCAAATCACGTTTGGTTAAAGCATTTTCAGCTGGTAGGTCTCCGAATTCTTCATTATTCAGCTGTACATTATTATCACATCTTTTTTTTTTTTCTAAGGTGCAAAATATTATTTTAATTTTATAATATGTATATTTTCTCTACTGTTATTGGGTAAGTTATTTTTTTAATCTCATTTGAATCTTGATTAAAACCATCGTGCATCTTTACTTTTGTATAGATTCAATACGTGAATTAAACAAATATTCAAAATATACTCCCGATATATCGGCACCACACGTTGAAACACAAACACATATGAAACAATTTCGAGCACAACGAAATTTTTACATTGCTGGTTTTGCATTATTCCTATGGTTGTAAGTGTGCATAGTAGTTAGAAGAATTTATGAAAACAACAACACTGCCTCTAATAAAGGTTTTTCCAAAGTAAAAACGACTATAAGTTTCAGGGTGATTTTTGATCCCAAAACGGAATATGTATGATCTTGTAGAACAAGACTTGCTCTATCCAATGGTGTATATATTGTCGAATCCCAATGTGCACCATCAACAAAGAAAATAAAAGGTAACCCCTCGTTTTTTAGAAATTATTTTTATTTTTGAGTTAAATATTGTGCATTATAGAGTAAAGTGTCCTCTACAAAATGAGATGTCTTCCAGCTCTCCATCATGTTTTGTGATCATTCTGGATGTTAGATCACAAAAATGTAACTTTTCAAAGGTTTCCAGCAAAGTGATCATAACTCTATCAAAAACATGGTGGAGAGCTGGAAGACATCTCATTTTGTAGAATCTTTATTTACTCTACAATGCTGACTATTTCAAAAGTTTATCAAGTACCGAATGGAAGAGAAAAATGTTTTGAAAGTAAAAAAATAAGGTTTTTCTTCCGGGTAAAGTAACAAACTTTAAAAAGTTCGTATCTTCTCAACGTAGGGCTTCAACGGAGTGGTCTTATTTTGTAGAGGACATTTTACTTCTATAATACACAATATTTAACTCAAAAATAAAAATAACGTCCAAAAAAGAACGAGAGGTTACCTTTATTTTTTTTTGACGGTGAACATTAGGATTCGACAATATATACACCACTGGATAGAGCAAGTCTTGCTCTTCAAGCTCATACATATCCCGTTTTGGGATCAAAAATTTATAGTCGCCTTCCATCCATTCAGTGATGCATACTAGGTATGCACCAGTATCGGTATTCATACCGAAATACCGATACCGACAATAGCGAACTTCGGTATATACCGATACCGAAAATATCGACTTCTTTCACTTAGAATTTTTTGGCTTTTTTCATTTGAAATGAGATGTTTTAGCGTCCTGGACACCCAGAATGAATTAGGGACGGAAAACAAGAGCTTTGTTTGCTTTCTAAAGCCAAAGTTTTTCTTTTCTTTCTATCTGAACATGCTCAAAATACACAGCTGAGTGTTGTTTATACGTTCTGCTTGTCCAGGATGCTAAAATACCTCATTTCAAATGAAAAAAATCCAAAAAATTCCAAGTCAAAAAAAGTCGGTATTTTCGGTATCGGTATATACCGAAGTTTGGTATTTTCGGTATTCGGTATACCGATACCGGTGCATACCTAATGCATACCAACCAGAGACCATCATAGTACAGGGCTGCCCTGTTGTCCTGCCACCCTGCTCTGTCCTGGCGGGTATATATTTTTTGCCCTGCCCTGTAACAGAGCAGGACAACAAAAAATGTTTTGATTTGCTCTGCGAGAGATTGATTTTTGAGATTTTCAAGCTTCTTTTTAAGTAAAATTTTGAGTCCTCTCGTATATGTGAAAATAAAAATGACCGCCAACTTTTCTAAAATCGATAGTTAATAAAAAAAAAGAGATTCTGCTACGCATGAGAAACACATCCGGTATTTGTAATGAGTTTCTTGAAGATAAAGTCTTCTGGGTTAAAGAGAAAAACTTTCTTTTACACTGAGGGTGTCTTATCCAGCCAGAGAGGGCAGGGCCAAAAACATTTTACGAGTAATTTTCTGATAGGGCAGGGCAAGACAGAGCAGAGCGAGAAAAGTTGCCTTGCACCATCTCTGCACCAACTAAGCTCGACTTTTGTTTTAGCATTGCTAGTTGAATGAAGATAGATAAATTTTCAATTTTTGGTTTAAAATCAGAGAACACAAAAGAGTTTTATTTGAGCTCAGAGCGTTCATTTATGTATTTTGAGATCGGTAGATAATTCTACTTTTAATCTCAGACACTTAACATCAAACTTTTCTCGCAGCATCTATGATGCGTTCGATCATGTTCAGTCACATTGAGAGCACAAACACTCCCTGAGATAATAAATATTTTTTTTTGTTTATCGTATTCCTGCTCACAATTCCCAACATTGATCCTTGAAAAAAGATAAATTCAATAATTTGTTCTATATCTTTTTCAGTGTACTCAAACGTCTTATGAGTTTATTGTCGAAGTGTGCACATGAAATGGCTGATTCTTTGGCTTCTCGAAAACAAGCTGCAAATGCAAATCGCAGTCTGGGAAATCTTTCACCGGATGATTTAACAGTAAGCATGAAAACAGCTTGTTCCTTGCTAAAATATCTAGTTTATCATTATTTAGAAAGGTAATCTAAAGACGTCTGCTGATACTTCACATTACATTGATGCAGAAGAACATGAAAAACAGCTTAATAAAATTTGGCAAGGTAATTTAAGATATTAATTGAAGTTGTCACATATTACATAGAATTATCTTTTCTAGATTGGGATAAAGCAAAAGCTGATATGAATATATTACGTGGAAAATATGACAGTTCGATAAAAGAATATGATACATTAGCCGAAGAACATCGTAACCTTCAGGTACGTTTATTTTCAAAATCATTGCATCTCAACATTAGACTGTGATATATTTGTTTTTTTACTTTGTTTTAATTTACTTTTAGACAAAATTTGATATTCTTGCTAGAAAACAATCCGAATCAACAAAAGATCAATAAAAAAACGCAAAGCATTTTTTGATCATCTTTTTTTGTACCCATAGATTTTACAATATAGGCAAATTTTTTAACGTTTCTATCATCGTTATTTTTCAAGAGAAAACAGAAAAGTCAGTTGTTCATATTTGTGTATACCAGAAAAATCACTACAGTCAGAAGAAACATAATAGAAAAGAAAACAAATGTATAAAAAAGATATAATCACTGTACTTCTCAAATATTTTTCTCATTTTTATAACTCATTGCTGGGTGTGTGTAGGTGTCCTGTTTTTCTCTCTATTTAACCAATATAGATTTTGCTTTTTATTCTTTTTCACTTAAACCGTATAAAATACTGTTCTTTTAGTCATAGTATAGATTCTAGATTATTCGTAAATTTTTTACGCAATCTGTTTCTCAAATACTTATGTTTTTGCTAATGTTATAAGTTTATTTGTCTCCTTTTTTTTAAACATACAAGATTACCGGTTTTTACTTCCTGTGTTTTTGACCATGTTTACAAAGTAACAGTAAAGAAATAATATGAAGAATGATCATTGTCAATTGAAGAATAATTTGTATGTTAACCTATTGGATACTTTTTGAAATGAGAATGTTTTGAGTGAGTTTAAAAAAAAAGAGATGATACATCCATACTGAGATATCAAGAACTACTTAATCATAAACTCGATTAAACAACTGAAATTCAAAAATATTGTTACCTTTCATCTTTCTATGAGATGAAAGAGTATTTTAAAAATTAATTGTGATAGCAATATTTAATAGTGGTTGATCAATTATTAATTATTATTTGATTCTTTTCTTCTTCTTAATTCTTAATTGATTAATAGTTTGATCAATTCTTATATATGACATTTGACTGTATCTATACCTTTGGTCGAAAACTCAAAACACCGAAAGTGAAAACGCAGAATGGACAAGATCGAAAAGCAGAATACAAAAAAACGAAAATGACGAAGTGCAAAATGTCGAACGGAAATATCACGAAAATGTGAGTTCTGGAAGTGAACTGGTATCTCCAAAATATTTTTTGCTCATAATTCAAATCAGAATAGTCATTTGCTGTTCTGTTTCTTTGAATAATAAAGAGAAGTAATGTTCTCGAAGAAATTAGATAGAGAACAACACTTGTAAATAAAACAGAAAAATAGCTAACAGTTTTACGAAGGATTAATTGCCAAGTACACTACTTGTTTTTTTTTGTCTTTGGCAGCGACGATTGCAACGAATTTTAAGAATGCGTCATTCGAATCTGTATATACCTTTGCTGAACAATTATCTTCTTCACGTGGCCAATATTTAGCTGTTGTTGTTTTCTTGTTGCATCGAAATATGTAGAAATTAATCATCAGCATTTCTAAAAGAATACTTTGTACAAATTGAACTGAATGAACTATGATCTATACTTATTGATGTCACCTCATCAAACAGAACGGAAAAAAATTTCACATACAAGTAAAATGATAGTTTGCACAGAAGATTTGCAGATCTCTCGACAGAACTATGAGCAAAAAATATTTTGGAGATATCAGTCCGCTTCTAGAACTCACATTTTCGTGGTATTCCTGTTCGTCATTTTTGTTTTCTAGATTTTAGGTTTTCGACATTCTGCTTTTCGATCTTATCCATTCTGCGTTTTCACTTTCGGTGTTTTCAGTTATCGAGATTCGGCCCTACATTCCACTTGACATCATTTGCTACAGATAAAATGAACTCAAAATGTTCTATTGATGCATTTTATTATCAAATATTTTCTCAAAATATGTGAGTTAATGACAGGCGATGAGACCTATTCTGAAGAAGACACTCTAGCCTAGCTATGCATAAAATAAAACGAAATTATTTGACAATTTTCAAAATATCAATCTAGTTTTCTAAAGATTTCATCAAAAGTCAATCTTCAGTAGAATCACGTGCTTCGGTCTTGGTTATCCAACGGCGAAAACCGGATGGTTCTTCTTTACCTTTTCTTTTAGACGTCAGTCCGAAAATAGTAATGTGGCTTTTAATTTGAAATAGAAGGTGAGTAAGTGGTACTTGTACATGAAGCTTTTACTAATGATTTTTCTTCCTAAGCATATTGTCAAAATAATCTTTTGTTAAATAAAAGAAGGAAGAGAAAATCAAAATTAAGTTGAGATTATAATGATCTTCCTTACAAGACATGAATATTGTCAAAAGAAAAAGAATTTTAAGGTAATATTTATGGATAAGTAAACATAGCTGAACGTGAAAAAGACAGGCATTTCAAGTACCAATGAATATGTAACAAAAACGTCTTATGAGGAAACTTTCCAGATACTTTATATTAGTTTTGATGAAATATAAATTTTTTAGGTGTTATTTCTGACGGTGATCACGAATCTGATATTCGTTTTTGCTTGTATGACTTCCTAGCACCATCCTACAGATAATGTGTCTCTAAAGACCTAGTCTACATCATCAGATAAATCCAGAAATTCGGCACAGCCACCTAATATTTTGTATGTATGTTGTATTATTAGCAAATTCATATTCAATATGTTGAAAAATCGTACAAAATACTGGCGATCTTCAAGATACATTGTATACACAACGAGTAAATGTTTCATTCTAACATGCGCTTTTGAATTTTCAAATTTCAAATGTGATTATCAAAAAAGGACGACAAAATGATCAATAAATTGAAAACGATGACATAGCACTTTGATATTGTTGTTGTATAATTGGAATGTGTGTATGATTTATTTGATTTTAATTGCTCACGTGTGGCCATCTGGTTAGTCGTTAGATCATTGAAAAAGTGACATAAATACTTGACTGTTTTTTCATACAAAACTCATTCTTAATTGAATATTTTCTCTGTCATTCTATAAACAAACAAACCAAACCCATGACATCGAAGCATCTGTATCTGTTGACAACGTTTGTTTTTATTTTGGCTTGTGTGTTTTTATCTAGCGATGCCAATCCCTTCTACGATGGTCACGAAGAAAAGCAGTATCGTGAAAATGATTCAGGATTAGAAGAAGAGGGAGAAAATGATTGTCCATATCACGACGACAAATATTATCCACGTGAAGAAGAAGAATACGATACCCATCGAGACAGACGTAATGCAGTAGCACATATTCCATTAAGTGATGAATATCGCAAGGAAAATCAGCGTTTAATTGACAATAAAAAGGAACAAGATGATTTGGATAAGGTGAATGAGCGCACAAAGTAAGTGCATATCGTATTGTCCACTCGTTTATTAATTTTCTCTTCTCTACTGTATATATGTGTTTCAGATCTGTATGGATATTTTGAAAAATTACATAAAAATGGATGCCTGTTTTCACGATAAAATAAACAGGGAAGAAGCCAAGAAAAATTGGAAGAAACACATTGTGAAAGTAAACGATTGATGGAAGCAATAATATGTCTTCTAAATAAACAAAGGAAAGAAACAGAGATGGAGTTAGATTGGGATATTAGTCATAAGGTTGAACTGGGAATTGAACTTAACTGAAATTGCACAGGGATATCAATTTTTTTGATCACCAATTTTTCTGCTCGTATCTCACATTTTTATTTCTCAATAAACTATAATGTACAATACAAACATATTCATTGAGATTTTAACCAAATGAACAATATTTTTACAGTTTTATTTATATCTATTTAAAAAACTTAAAGCTGTGCTAACTTTCTTCGGATGCCCTTTCGCTTTTCGTTTGCGTAATGGTTGAATACGTGTTTTATCTCTAACTTGATACAAGTTAAATAAAATTAGTAATCCAACAGAATGTTTACACGAATATACTTTCATGTCAATCAGGCAGCTACATGATTCTAATGGTACAACAAGCCAACAGGATTGTTGCCATACCAGAAAACCATTGAATATAATCCATCGACGGGAACGATAAATATGTACCCAATGATATATTCAATAGTTTTCTGGTATGGCAACAATTCTGTTGGCTTGTTGTACCATTAGAATCATGTAGCTGCCTGATTGACATGAAAGTATATTCGTGTAAACATTCTGTTGGATTACTAATTTTATTTAACTTGTATCAAGTTAGAGATAAAACACGTATTCAACCATTACGCAAACGAAAAGCGAAAGGACATCCGAAGAAAGTTAGCACAGCTTTAAGTTTTTTAAATAGATATAAATAAAACTGTAAAAATATTGTTCATTTGGTTAAAATCTCAATGAATATGTTTGTATTGTACATTATAGTTTATTNATTGCACAGGGATATCAATTTTTTTGATCACCAATTTTTCTGCTCGTATCTCACATTTTTATTTCTCAATAAACTATAATGTACAATACAAACATATTCATTGAGAAATAAAAATGTGAGATACATGCTGGAAAAATTGGTGATTAAAAGTATCTTTTTTTGATGATCATTTGTATCTAGACATGTTTGGTGATCAAAAGTACATTTATTTATTGCACAGCCTTGATTAAGACAGACGAAGAGAAAAGATAATTTCACTATTTCAACTAGACATTATTAATGACTGAGTAATGTCTGATTCATATCATCCTGCTTAGGCTTATTTCTTTAACGACATCCACGCACCATCGCTATAGTTTTATGGGTAATAGTAAAACATGAAGACACCCACAGACACCCGCAGACACCCACAGACACCCACAGACAGCACACAGACACCCACAGACAGCCCCAAAAACCCNACATCCATGGATGTCTGTGTAGCTGTCTGTGGCTGTCTGTGGTTGTATGTGTGCTGTCTGTGCAGCTGTCTGTGGCTGTTTGTGGCTGTCTGTGGGTGTCTGTGGGTGTCTTCATGTTTTACTATTACCCTAGTTTTATCTATTTTCTCTATTTCGCATCTGTTTAAGGACATCTTTTCATATGCAGACATTATCCTGAACAATATTATCTTGTCTTACCTCTTCTACTACAATGTGTAGAAGATGTAGCATTAAAAGGGTAAAAAAGTTCACCAAACGAAATCTGAAGGTGATGGCTATCATCAACATGTAGATCAAGAAGCAATCTAGAAGTTGAATCAGAAATGGTCATGTACTGTACAATACCCAGGGTCACCCAAATATCCTGAAACAGCAACACATCTTCTCGAATCAAAATCAAAGTCTTCTAGAAGGGTAACTTGAGCGACAACTAGTTCGGTAAAACGAATATTTGCGATGTTTTTATCGCATCACTGAAACATTTAGGCCACTGCCCATTCATAAAAATCAAAGACTAACTAATTACATAACCTTAGCGTAAGTTTTGGAAAAGAGTTTTGAACTTATCTATCTTTTAACGAAATGTTATGTACCGACTTTAGCCATTGACCAATTTACCATAAAACCGCCTTTTCTTTTTTCTTTCTAAAAGGTAAGTTGTGAAAAAAAGTTCGAACTCGATGGACTCGGACTCATCCAGCCGTATTTGTATGTTACTCAGCGTTTAACTGAACGAAGTCATATCATATATTGGATGTTACCCTCTAGTCTTAAAAACGGTCCACATAACAACTAACAATATAAAAAAGTATGCGTTTTTTTATGAACAATGATAACCCAGTTTCTCTGTTCTCATACAATCTGCAAAATGATGATTTGAAATGTACAATAGTCTGAATTAGTTTTTCTTCTAGAATATGGACACTTCTATTTTTTATTCTATTGCAATTTAACATTGACCTATATAGTTTATGTACCGTTGAGCTCTGCGTAGCCTGCTCATCCTTCGGAGCAGAAGTTTTGTTTTCATTTGAACAAAGGTTAGAAATACATCATTAGACGCATTGATTCACACTGTTTTTCGAATCTGAGCTCAAAAAACAAATTAAAATTAAATTTTCAAAATTTTAAATTTCATTTGTGGGTCTAGATATTTTTTTTAAAAATTCTAGAAACTATACCATCGGATAGAGAATCGAATCCTCTACAAAATGTCTTATTTGTTTCTATCTTTAGATACCAAAAAAAGTTTTGACGCTTATTTTGTGAGCAATTTTACGCCCATTCAGTTTAGTTTTGAAACATTATTTTTCACTGCATTGGATAAAAACCACCTCAAACTATCTATCTATGTGCAAATTAGAAGTTTGATGAGTAATTCTATGAGAGTAAAAATATATACCAAACCATCAGCAAAGAAGAGGGAAAAAAAAGGTGAAATTTCATAACGATCACTTTTTTTCGATTTTCTCTGCCAGAAAACTGGTTCAAGGAAAAGTCTATAGTAATTATAATAGCTCATACTGTGAGCTTTAATTTGGTAACTAAGCGATCACTCAAAATTGATCTGAAACTGAGTAATTTATACTTTACTGAAATATTTAAAAAAAAATAATTTCGTAACAGCTTCTGTTTTAATAATAATTTTTGATCCGCTTGGTCAATCAAGCTCAAATTGTTTTTGGTAGTAAAATTATCGATGAGTGTTGTTTCCTTGTCGAGACAAGGGACACAGAAGACGAAAACATGAAATTTTATTACATTTGGTCACGTCAAGCTTTCCAATGTAATTTAATATTGGTAGATTTAAACAGAATGTCATCTTTATCCTAAGGTGCATAGTTCGAACAACCTTTGATATAGTAGTATTAATTATTAGAATTCGTTTTAGTATCAATCGGATAAATATATGATTGACATGGGATTTTAAAAAATTTGTATATTGGCAGAATGTTATTTTATTAAGCTTGATTTTTTACCCAGGGGCTAAAAACTGTGTATATTATCTAAAATCGTTTTTGGCTAAGTTTTGATTATTCAATAATGTCACCTAGAAACAGAGAAATCTAACGAAACTGTGTTAGCTAGGTGTAACGCAAAATGTGTGTCTTTAGAAATTTGGAGAGACGAGCCTTCTGTAGTTTTATGGAAGATACTCTAGTCAACTTTCACTCAATTCAGAGAGAGAGGTCGATGTGGGAAAGTCATATAGCTGTGATCTTTCCCTGGAAGAGACATCAGTTATATTATCTGAAAATCCATGATTCATTCAGTCTCTTATGCGAAAAAATTGAGTCACATTTTCTCTATGAAATTCGAACACTTTAGTTTCCTTTCGTTTTTGAATAATTAAAGAAACATCGCAAGACCTTGCATTTTACAAGGAATAGAAGTTATAATTGTATATAAATATAGAGAAGAAGAAAAAACGAAAATGTGTCACTCATTTACTGCATGTGTGCTCGTTCATCCAAATAATAATGTTATCATACATAAGGTGACTGAATAGGAGAATAATCATTGAGAAAAATACTACACCAATTATAATGAATCCAAATTATTTGAATTTAAAATTTTTAGCACTTGGTGATTCAGGTGTGGGAAAGGTATTCATATTTTCCTAAAACTCCGTTTTATTACACAAATCCTGTATACTAAGAATAGTTGTTTAAACTTTTGTTAAGGAAATATCTCCTCACATGATGTTTTTTCATCAGTTTGTCGATGACACTTCTTCAGTATATGTTTCAAAAAGTTTTTCAGTTTTTTGACTTGTGTCTTTTGATAAGGAAGTTCTTTAATGCAGTGATTTATCAGAATAAAAAGTGAGAAGAAGTGAGTGAATAGTGAAAATAGAAAAGTGATAACAAAAACGAATGTATATTTAGCTGTGTGTTATTTTTTTTATAAATAAAAAACATATTCACGTTGAAAAATGACTGACATTTTCACCAAAAAATGAAAATCAACAAAAGATCTTGAGATATATATCAATCGACTCACTTTTTTATGCTAATTCCGCATATGATATTTTTATTGCATGAAAGATGAGTTCGGGTGGAGACACTGAGAATTATGATCAGAATTCTGATTGTTTTCGCTCCTAATCTAGGATAATTGAATTTTCTTAGTGACCAAGCAAAATAAAACTAGGTATGCACCGATATCGGTATATCGAATACCAAAAATACCGATACCGGAAATACTGACTTTTTTCGATTTCGACTTTTTTGAATTTTTTCATCTGAAAATGAGATAGTTTAGCATCCTGGACACCCAGAAAGAATCACGAATGCAAAACAAGAGCTTTATTTGCTTTCTAAAGCCAAATTTTTCCTTTATTTTCTATCTACACATGCTCAGAATACATAGCTGAGTGTTTTTTGTGTTCTGACTGTTTATGACACTAAACTATCTCATTTGAGATGGAAAAATCCAGAAGAATCCAAATAGAAAAAAGTCGGTAGTTTCGGTATTGGTATTTTGGTATGGATACCGATACCGGTGCATATCTAATTAAAACACACAAGTGATCCGTATTTTTAAAGCTCGTTTAATGGCGTCTCTAATGAAGTACAAAAATCGGTTTTATCTCTTCATTAAAAACTAGATAGATTTGCAAAATTGTTTATGAACTTTTTACAGGAAGAGTCCAAGATGTCCATCCTAGATAGATCTTTGACTTCAACCTCAATCAAACATTAGATCTGTACTCAGTTTTTAATTCTGAATCTGAAGAAAACGCTTTTAAAATGTTGAAAGAACGAAACAGAAAATAATTTGAGTTTTTTGAAACCAAAGCGTTTTTCGAAAATTTAGTTTCTTCAAGTATTTTTAATTTTTTGACATGAGAAAAACGTTTTTTCAATATTAAAATACATGTTTTCTGAATAAGCTCGACACGTTCTATCTAACTACGTGTAAAAAACGGAAAAAAAGTTCTGCTACAGGTGTATGTTTCCGGCACTTTACATATGTCTAAAAAGAAAATTTCAATTTAATTTTTACACGGTTAAAAAAAGGTCTTATAATAATTTTAAAAACTTCAATTTTTCAACTTTTTTAAAATCAATTCAAAATATTTTTCAAATCATTTTCAGAGATTCAGTTCGGTGAGTATGGTAATCATGGAGGTCAAGTTGACTGTCCTCGACCAGAAAATTTAATCAAGATTCAGCGATCGTAATTATAACAGAATTAAAAATGGATATAATATCATGGCAACATCTAAGTTAATAACAGATAGACGAGAAACTTACAGTTTAGAATGCATACTCTTTTTTGATTGTTGTTATGTGATATAAAGACAAGTTTCTTTTACTTCTTTTATAGACGTCAATATTAAATCAATATGTGGATGGTGTATGTGATGCGAAATTAGCTCCAACTGTTGGTATTGATATTCGAGACAAAGATATTGTGTATGAATCGACAAAGTCTCATTCACCAAAAACGTGGAAAATACATCTACAATTATGGTAAAAGAAAGGAGTACTTCCTCATGATCCTGCTAATTTTTAGGAAGAATTTGCTTAATCCGATTTTTCTTAACTAATATAAGAACTGAATCTATTACTGTTTGCCATTTTGTTAGAAGGAATCACTTCATTGACAAAATATGAATCTATAAACATATGTTCATCATGTATTAGTCAGGTAATTAAAATTGTAGCCACTTTCCAAATGATTTATTAGAAAAACTGAATTTTTTATCCGGAAAAATTTCTTCTTTATACTTGATCGAAAATGATTATTGATAACAGTTTGAATATTTTATTTCTTCATTTGTCAGAAAAATGACGTCAATTACTCTTTTATGATACTTATCAAATTAAACAAAGCGTCGTTGACAACAAGAGTCATCTGGATGATGATGGTAAATTCGATATTCATATTGTTTCTAGACAGTACAAATATTCTTCCCTATCAAATAAAGATCCTACTCTCGGTTCTGTTGGTCAATGGAAAACTTGGAAAAAGACAACAGTTATGACGTGCACACAAGTACCCTCTATGTAGTATTTAGGCTCTATCTGTCATAATGCTATAGTCCAATATCAAATACTTGTAAACATGCTCGTTCATCTAAATACGTTTATAATAGAGACTGAATTCGAATCAAGCACGAATCAATCAACGTTTCCGTTTGGTTTATTACGCACTACGCTAGCACTTTTATTTTGAGTACCAGCTCAAAAGAGAAATTGAAATAAATAGATAGACTACTTACAAGTCACTTTGCTGTTGCATACTTATTGGAGTTCTTTTTAAACTCTTTGAAGAATAAAACTGAAATACAGGAGTCACATAAAAATTAATGTTTTTGACTAATTGAATCCGTTTTCCAGCATTTATATAAAAATTCATATTTTGTCAACGGAGTGAGTCCTTCTAACAAAATGGCAAGCAATTTATAGATGCAGTTCTTACATTAGTTAAGTAAATTCTTTTTTAAAAACTGACAAAATGCTTTATGGAATTAGAGCAGTATCCATTTTGAATTGGCAGTTGCCATTTGTTTACCTGTTCATACATTAGCAACCTCAAAATTTCTGAATTATATTTTATTTGTTTAGTTGACTCACGAGGGAACCGATTTAACTGTCAAATCGTTTTTTCAGTGAGATCTACTGGATCATAGGCTAGACTATGCTGATTCCGAATATGACCGTGGCAGTTGCTTGTAGGCCTCCAGAGATCCATTTTTTGGAAAATCAAATTTGCAGAAGCTCTAAAAAATAACCGAAACTTTTCTTAATGAGGCATTATTGTAGCTTGCACATTTCTGATTAAAATGAGACGTCTCCCAGCTCTACATGACCTTTCTTTGCAACGTCATCGATCTTACAAGAAAGGCTCTCAATTCATTTCTTCTTATTTCTGTAGCTTTGAGCTGATAATGATCATTTAGGACTTTTCTTGTGAATTCTATAGGTTTGCAAAGAAAGGCCGTGCAGAGTTGGGGGATATCTCACTTTAATCAGAAATGTGCGCGATACAAGCACGTCTCATTAAGAAAGGTTTCGGTTATTTTTTAGAGCTTCTGCAAATCTGATTTTCCAAAAAACGGATCTCTGGAGGCCTACAAGCAACTGCCACGGTCATATCCGGAATCAGCATAGTCTATAGCCTATGATCCAGTAGGTCTCACTGGAAAAACGATTTGACAGTTAAATCGGTTCCCTCATCAGTTGTACTTGAAAATCATGGATAGTTTCTATTTAGGGATACAGCTGGTCAAGAACGTTTTCGTAGTATAACAACATCATTTTTTCGTGATGCAATAGGATTTTTACTTGTATTCGATCTAACAAATGAGACATCGTTTATAAGTACTCGTAATTGGATAACAGAATTACAAGGAGCAACATATACGCAAGATCATAATCTGATTTTACTTGGAAATAAATGTGATTTAGATGATAAACGTATTATTAGTAAAAAACGTGCAAGTAAATTTGCTGAAGAACTTCAAGTAGATTATATTGAAACAAGTGCTAAAGAAAATTTAAACATTAAAGAATCTATTGACTTATTACTAGATAAAATAATGAAAAGATTAGAAAAAAATGAACAATTAATTAAACCAAATCCATTAAGTGAACTACCAATAAAATTGGGTCAAGAAACTCCAGGCAAGCGGGATGAAAAACCATCATTAAATTCAAATAAAAACACCTATTGGTGCTGTTATCAATGATATTTATACTGTAAAATACTATTTAGTGATCAACTATCATATTTATGTGATATTCTATGAATGGGTAATTACACTAATGTTAAATAAGATTTTTTTTATAAAGATATAAAATCTTTGTCTCTTATGAACAATTTCTAAATATAATAAAAAATGAATAAATGTACTTTTGATCACCAAACATGTCTAGATACAAATGATCATCAAAAAAAGATACTTTTAATCACCAATTTTTCCAGCATTTATCTCACATTTTTATTTCTCAATAAACTATAATGTACAATACAAACATATTCATTGAGATTTTAACCAAATGAACAATATTTTTACAGTTTTATTTATATCTATTTAAAAAACTTAAAGCTATGCTAACTTTCTTCGGATGCCCTTTCGCTTTTCGTTTGCGTAATGGTTGAATACGTGTTTTATCTCTAACTTGATACAAGTTAAATAAAATTAGTAATCCAACACAATGTTTACACGAATATACTTTCATGTCAATCAGGCAGCTACATGATTCTAATGGTACAACAAGTCAACAGGATTGTTGCCACACCCGAAAACTATTGAATGTATCATTGGGTACATATTTATCGTTCCCGTCGATGGATTATATTCAATAGTTTTCTGGTGTGACGCAATCCTGTTGGCTTGTTGTACCATTAGAATCATGTAGCTGCCTGATTGACATGAAAGTATATTCGTGTAAACATTGTGTTGGATTACTAATTTTATTTAACTTGTATCAAATTAGGGATAAAACACGTATTCAGCCATTACGTAAACGAAAAGCAAAAGGACATCCGAAGAAAGTTAGCACAGCTTTAAGTTTTTTAAATAGATATAAATAAAACTGTAAAAATATTGTTCATTTGGTTAAAATCTCAATGAATATGTTTGTATTGTAAATTATACTTTGTTGAGAAATAAAAATAATAACAAGCAGAAAAATTGGTGATCAAAAAAATTGACACCCATAAAAAATCTTGCATTGTACGTCTGAATTAGCTCCATTACTTAACGAAGTTCTTTTGGATGTCGAACGAAGTTCATTTGTCACTGATATACCATTATTAAATCACTAGTAATGTCGATCGTTGGGTTATGTCTTTATTTAGACGCACACAGTTGTAGATTCTTTGCTTTAAATCGAAGAAGAACAATCATGAGGTTTTTTAATTATTTAAAATGTTTTTATCTTAATAAATATCGATGATATAGATTATTTCATTGTATCAATAATATTCGCTTTATGTTTTGATACAATTGAACGAAAGCAAATAGAATCCAAAATTTCTTGTATTATTTAAACTTAACATACATTAGAACTGTTAATTGATTGATTCTAAAACTAAAAATTTTAATTGATAGAAGCAATTGTGTGATGAAATTAATTATGTATGGTTAATAAATAAAACAAAAATGATATTGTTATCATAGTGAGAATTATAACGACAACAGTTTTAAAATACATTTTTTAATTCAAAGTGCGAACGTTAACTCGGATAGGCAAAGGTAATTTGTCACAGGATGAACTGCAGATGCCAGTGGCTTGGTCCTAGCACTGCTGAAATGAGGCGTCTTTGTTGTAATAATGAAGTAATTCAAAATTCCGATGTTTTGGTACGTACCATTATTATACTTTCAAATATAAACTTGAATAATTTCTATCATTTTATTTATCACGAACTAATAATCCAAATAATCACACAAAAATACACTTAAAAACATAGCTATTTATATATAAAATTTACATATAGTTGAACATACGAGAAACAGATGGAAGAGAGTAATGATGTCAGTAGTATAAGATAGAACGGTTTACTCTCGATTCGTCCCTAACTGCTCTGTCTCAATTCGTCCCATAAACGTTTTTCATAGTTCGTCCCACTTTTTTTAGTCTCAATTCGTCCCATTTTTTAAATACTTATTCTAGAAAAGTTCTCTTATATTTAACTTAATTTTCAGAAATGGAAACAAAAAAATATTATTAATACATTGTCTTTATTCCATCTGATTTTTACGACCCTTCCGCATTTTATGGCTAATTGTAGATTTGTCAATTCCCTGTTTTCATGAGTGTCAAGTAAACTTTTCAATTTTTCATCAATTTCATGTGTACACGAATGTTGTGTTTCATCTTTCATGATGACTAAATCTTGTGAGCATAACGAGATGACACTTGTGCAATTACGATCTCTGCATTTCCACTGGTTACTCTTTGTATTATTTCGTTTTTTTGTAAACTGATAACCATTTAAATTCAGCACAGGTTTACTTTTTTCGGTTTCTGTAAAAACTTAAAATTGCAAACTTCATTCATACGACAACTTTGGTAAAATGTAAATTTCTACTGTCTGTTTTAGACACATTTCCGTAGATATTTTTATTTACTTTAAGCTGATCAACATGGACGAAACTCTTGTTATTTTGAAGAACACAAAGAGATCTTATAGAGAATAAGTATTTAAAAAATGAGATGAATTGTTTGGGATGAACTGAGAAAAAAATTTGTGGGACGAATTGAGAGAGAGCAATTAGGTAGCACGTATCGAGAGGACCAGAGCTGGGCAAGTCAGTCTAAAAATGACTTAAGTCAAGTCAAAAAAGGACTTGACCTGAGAAATTTTTGATGATTCATGGCTTGATTTGACTTGACTTGTGACTTTGGCATAAAAAATCAAGTCAATTCATGCATATTTTTAAACCGCTTATGCAATCTAGTTTTAAATAATAATTCATAATGATTTGGGAATGTTGATGTTATAATATGTAAGAATTTACGCATAGTAACAAGACGCGCATTTTGCAATAGCATAGCAAGCCTGTGTTCTAATACCAAGGAATGAAGACTCGGTAGCGTCCCAGGAAACCGGTAGGTCAACGTCGTTCATGTTTATAACGGTGACTAATGTTCTCGTTAACTACTCTACTTTATACATCATTCGATAAAGAATTTCACGGGCTTCAAAATGATATATAGGATAGTCTTAAGATAATGTAACTGGGCAGCCAAATATCCGAAATACTCGGTGGCATCTCAGCTAACCGATAAGTCAACGTAGTCTAAGATCCGAAATACTCGGTGGTCACAGGAAACCTTATATACTAATTGAATTACTATATAAGGTAAGGTCTATTCAGTAGTTGGACAGAACGTCGAAAGTTACATTTTTCTACGAAAAAATTTGATTTTTATCCCAAAGAATAAGATAACTTTAAATTAGATTCCAGCTCCTGTGGACGTTGTCTCATAAGTTAGACTTTTAACGTATGAGACAAAAACCACTTTTACTTCACACTAAGCCTATATCAACGGGAGTTTCATAGAGGCAAAAACTGTTTAAGATCTTGGAGAATTAAAAATGAAGCGATAACTAGAATTATACTCTCAATGTATCTCTATATTTTTATGAAGTTTTATTCTCTATAATAGAGAAGAGAAGAGTGATACACATATAGTGGGATTGTGTGCCGGATTTACTTTCCGATGATTAATTTTTCTTTTAATTAGTTTTGTTCTTACAGAAAAGGAGAGATACATGGCTTTTTTGCTCTAATGGATTTACTTTCCAATAATTAGATAAAGAATATATACTAATTAACCAGTCTGATATATAGGGATTTACTTTCCATTGATTTGGAAAAGCACCTAGGTGAAACATAACTGACATTTAATAAGCCATGTAATGCGTTTTAAATGTATGCCAAAAAACTGGCTTTTAACACCCAAATAACTGTTAAAAAACTGCCAGGTAACAGTCAGTTTATTGTCTGTTATATGATTGTTGATAAAGGCTCGAGAAAAGGCATTTAATATACCATAAAATATTGAAAAAAAGGCAGTTAACAGCCACTGTTTAGTGTAAATGTTTTTGGCTGTTATCATGGTAAAAAACAGTCGTTTAACTGTGCATCCTAAAATGTAAAATAACTGTCACAGTTAAATGACTAACAGGCCATTCTTCAATTGCAAAATATACAGCGAAAAAATTGACATTTCAAGTAGCTGTTTTATTCACCGTTTATTTTCCAATCATGACTGGTATATGATATATACATATGAATATCACTGAAATTTGGAAGAAATTTGAAAAATTTTCTCTTCCCCAATTGCACGAATCATTTTTGCTGGGATCTACTTTTTATCATAGATAAACACTGTGGTATAAAAAAGTAAATCGAAATATCGGTTTTCGACTACGCTCTTCTGCATGGCAATGTTTTTCTCGATTTTATAAAAGTCTTTTTTATCGAAAAGTTTAACGCATATGCATTAGTGTAGGAAAACCAAATGAAGTGCATACAAAGCTTAAGTATTGATAGCGGATTACCCGGTGCATAATCTCCTTGGTCTCTTGTAAAAATTCTTTTGCCATAAAGAATTATCTATGCGTACTTCACTATAATTGAAATGATAAAACGTACGACCGAGCAAAAATGTTCTCCAAGCCAAACCATTGAAACTTAAGGGTTCGCTTGGGTTCCGTTACTCAGAGGATATCTCAGACTATGCAATGACGTGAAAACACTGATCGATCTTATTTGATATTTTGGAGTGATGTCCTGGTTTTTCAGAGATCTCCTGAAAACCCGGATTTTCAAAAAAAATTTTGAAACACTTTCTTTTGCAGAAATATGCAATTGGATATTGGCTATTGAATGGTAAAAACCGCGGATCTCTGTTGCTTATCGTTCTCGAGTTATTCAAAAAATGGTCATATTCACGGATTTTTTTATTGGACAGTAGATGAAGAAAGACTCGCGGTTTTCACTATTCGATAGCCAAGTAGTGATGGGCCGTAAGACGTAAAAAACGTCTTCCTTAAGTTATCGTTCTTACGATATTCGGGATCTGTATGATTTACATATACGGCCACGAATACTGAACAAACGAAAAAGAATGAAAAATTTTACGTCGCATGAGAACGGAAAATAAATGATCTCGTAAGAAAACGACGCCTTACGTCGCTAAAATACGGAATGAATAGAATAATCTTAAT